AGTGATCGCCGTACCTTCGGGCCCGTCGCAACTTTTAATTGCTCGCTCTCTTCTCCATCGCTAATCCGTCGCGGACGATCGTTCAGTGCGAGTTTCCAAGTGATCATTATTCCTTTTCGCAGTTGCTAAGCAACTTGTGTATTCAGTTCCGTTTTGCGTGTGTAACACAAGTGTTCTTGTTCTTTGTTTTTGTTTTGTTTTTTTCAAATGTTTTTCCTGTTTTCGTTCCGTTTCTGTTCTCTCATTGTTTCGCCGCCATAGAGTGTGTGTGTGTGTGTGTTTCCGTTACGTAAGTTAATTAAGTCGGGGCCGCAATTGACATGGAAATTAGCGTCAATTCCGCGGAGAGGAGAGATCGCTCCGCCTCATTAGGCGATCCTCTCGATCGGAACTCGCAAAATACTGTTTTCTGAAAAATTCTTCATTTTGTTTGTAATTCGAACGTGTGTATTATTTACTTTTTGTAAATTGCCCGAAGGATTTTCTGTTTAATTTAACAATCGGACGTGTGAAATTACACAGATCTCACGGTCTCAAATGCGAGGAGAGCTCAAAGAGAGAGAGAGAAAAAAAAAGGTGTAATGATTATCAATGCCAATGCTGAACATTTTTTGACAGCGTTCAACTGTTTAAATAAGTTTTGATTCCTTGAAATTTATTTATTGTTATTCGGACGAAACTCGTTCTTGCTATATATTTATAATAGTTACGAAATTTAACTCTTTTTTTTTTGCAAATAGTTAATTAATGTATATTTCCATCAGATTTTCAGTGGAATTCCGATTGAAATTATTATTATTCCTTTTTAAAGTTTACTTAATTATAAAGTTTCTTAAAGTAATGAGGATAATTAAATTGCTCGGGGTTTAGCCTTTCACAAAAATAAAAATAAATTTGATCATATCTTCGCTGCAAAGTTATTATTCCCTCGTTCGCATAAAGAAAAACCCGTTTCTTTTTCTCTTTTAATGGCAATCCTTCATGTAATTCGTTTGCGTAACGCGCGCATTTCATTCTCCTCGTTTTTCCTTATGAAAACCGACGAAGTTTTCCGCTATGTAATAATAACTAATCGATGATCTATCCGTCGATGATATTCAAACGGTTTCGCATTGTTTCAACCAAGAAAGTACATGATTTACTGTGTGTTTATTTTATCTGGCCCGCAAATATTTATGCTCGGCGGCCGCGCGTTTCACATAAACATTCTCTCTTTCCCTCTCGGTAAGTGATGTTTTTCGATGTTCCGACAGTGAAAGATAAATAGTTTGTTTCTTCTTTGGTGTTGAGAGTAAACAAAACTTACTTAATTCTTGTGCATAAATACAAGAAAAAGAAATTCTTGTATTTAAAGCATATCTTTTGTCAATTTGACGTTTAATTTCGACTGTTTTTTTTAAGATGTCAGCGAGAAACAAATTATTGTAGGTTACAAATTTGACAAGTCTGAATTGACAGTGATGATTGAAAACCGAGTTATATAAATGTACGCTTTGATTCACAGCTTGCTCATGCATTATTCATTTGTTTCGCACGTGAATTTGACGTTTCTGAAACTAATTTCACGGGTAGTCAACAAGAAAAATAATCGTTATGAATGCTTAAAATATACCGTTTCGTTTGCTCGAACAGCAATAATCATCACTTCGATTCCGATTTTACTATGCAATTTCGCTTCTGTAATTAGTTTCGTGAATCATCGTCCACAAATACACCGTACATTCAGTGCNGATAAATCTTAAAATACCCTACAACTATTGTTGTAAATGTCACTTTTGACGTTTCTTTGTGGTACTGTCACATTTGACATGCGATAAATCTTAAAATAACCTATAACTATTGTTATACATGTCAATTTTGACGTTTCTTTCTGGTACTATCACATTTGACATTCGATAATTGTATAACTATTGTTAAAAATGTCAGTTTTGACAGAAAAGTTAATAATAGAATATGACAATATTAAAGGAACGTTTTAATGTCGCTCGAAGGGGGCTTGCAGTATTTGCACGGTGAATCACAATAATTTGCACCTGAGGCGGCCCGCGTTTCTGCAAGCAATTTTTTTACCATTAAAAGAGATTTACAAAAAGGAAATTGGCGCACACGCACGCACAGTCCCGAATTTATTACGCATTTCGGCAACGAATATTTATGGGCGAACCGGACGGCATAAATCCGCGCGCACCGCTGAAAACTTCATCTTACTCGCGTTCATATTTCATCGCGAGAAATTTAAATTTAAAACGCACCAACAAAAAACAATAAAAATAATTGGTTCACGAACAACGGAGCGAAATGAAACGAAACGAAAGATCAAAATAAAAGTTATTGCTATTGGTCTTAAAGGCAATTATAAAAACGTAATTGCACTCGGTTTTCAAAAGGTCGTTAATTAAACAGGCGAGCGGGGATTATTCGCTTATTTATTGGAGAATTATGCGTTAATCGGATTATCGCGATGATTAATAATCAGTGGAAAATCGCCATAAATTGGCGTTTGAATCTCGTTAAGATTATTGGAAGAAATCGAAGCGCCAAGTAGTTTGCAAATGGAGCGCCATCTGCGGTGATGCTTCGTGAACTGGCGTTTTGACAGATCACTTAAATTTTGACAGAAAGTTTTGCTACTACAGTTAATATTGAGATTCGCGAATTGAGTTATGATAAACAACGCGCGCGCGTTTTACTCTCGTTGTCCGAACGAGGATTTCATAAAAGCACTCCGTTCGCCCCCAATAAACCCAATTTTGTTTACAAATGCGAAACTAGCCGGGCTATTTTCGACGCGGCTATGAAACACTTTTGCACATCCTGGCATCATCCAGAGAACACGAGCGTTCGGACACTTCTTTGCTTTTAGCAACATCAACAACATCATATTGGCGAATGTTTCGAAATATTGGATACATTCTCGCGATGCTCCACAGAGATTAGAAGCGAACAATTACATAAATATAAATGCTTGCGTGTGTTCCGAGTGCGTGTGTTACGCGATTTTATTTATGTTATGGCAGCATTGATAAAAAAAAAACCCTTTGCTCGTTAGCAACGGTTAAGACACGGCCAACTATCGCAGCAGGATGTTGATTGCCGATTACACCGCACGTGCTCAACACACAACCATTCGTTGTTTGCGAATCATAACAAATCGAAGAGACATTATACTAAAACAATGCTCTCAATTAACAAAGTAAAGTTAAATTACATCTGACGTATTTTTTTTCAAAATATTTAATATTTCTATTAAAAATTAATATACAGTGTAAATTTTAAAATAAAACACGATCTAATTATAAATAAGTTATTTTAAACTTTCTGAAATCAACAACACACGTAATACAATAGTATTATGCTCTATAATGAAGCAGATATTCGGTTTAAGAAGGAAAAAAAAGTGCAATCAGGAAAGCCTTTCAATCGTTTGCCTTCTGTTTTTTTTTTTTCGAATTCTTTCATTCTTTGCATTGAAGCACTTACCGGTGGTCGAAGGAGGCCGTGCTACCGCCATGTCGGCATCCTTTTGATCGTGACCGCCCTCAAATTAATAAAAAAAAGAAATTGAGAGAAGGTGCACTGAAAGCCTCTTTTAACGCTGAGAATCAAAACGACAATCATCAAATCATTAATGTATACATATTGTATTGAATTAGAGATCACGAATGCGTTGACTCAAATGTCGTGTCAAATGTCGGTTGCGACGCGATCATTTGCATAATTGACAATTTGATTTATCCGATCGAGACCGGTGTGATGTTTAAGCCTCTCACAAATCGTGTTCGATTATGTCATTACCGAGTGTTACTAGAGTGTGTAGAATGCGTAATTTGGACTCGGTCGATCGGTCGCATACACACACACACGCATCAGAAGCGGTGAACAATCAATTAACGTAACCTCTGCATAATTGACAGTCAAGTGCAAGTGACAGTTATCTGTCAAGTGTGTCAATGCCAAGGCGGGGCGATTTTACGACCGTCGATTATTATCATCATCATTATTCTTTTATTATTTTTTTTTGAAAGAAGGATGGTCATAAAATATATAGTCTTCACATTGACAACATTCGGAGAAAATCGAATGATTCATTTACATTCTGACAGATGAATGCGATCGATCATGCGACCATTTTTTTTTTGTAAGATTTTTTTTTGTCGTCTCGTTTTGTTTCCATTTGCTTCGTACGCTAATTACTATTTATAATAGCGGGTTGGTTTGTCGCGAATGCGAATGCAAATTAATTAATTAATTATGCAAATCGAATGCCGGATTTATCGGCACGTACGATCTGCTGCGTCGTATTTTGACAATAACTCTTGCGAGAGCAGCTCTCGCACCTGTTCGATTCTGCTGCTGCTGCGGACGGCTTAATTGGCTTCGGAAACCCGATACGGCGGATAAAGCCCGATTTTCGAGTCTCATTAAAGCCAGATATATACTGGCTATTTATTTTGGGTGGAAGGGAAGGAGGTGGAACGAAAGCCACCATTCGCAAATTAACTCTCCGCTTGTCATTCCACCAACCAAGCAAAAAGTACTCGCTGCCAAAAGTGTAATGGATGTTAATTACAAAAATTGCAGTGGTACCATGATTAAATTATGACGTTTCAATCTAGTTATTTTTTTTTAAATTTAAATATTTATGTTGGCTGCACTGTCGTGTGACGTTAGTTTCATTAACTATAACATTTCGTGAATTTTTATAAGAAAAAGTAATCACACTGTAGTTAATATAGTTTATTTTCTATAACAATAGTACACAATTACATCAGATATGAATAGTATTTAACTATCACGTAAAACATAAAGTACATTGAAATCGTTTGTTTATTCTTGCGGATGACAGATGATGGGAACGGCCTGCGCGTTTTTCGGGTCGCTAAATTTTTACGTAACTCGGATCACACAAAAGGGAATCCAATTTGAAAGCGCGCGAATCACAATCGCAATCTCTGTATGTTTAACTTATTCAATTAAATTTTTTGTCGTGTTCTCTTTGCCTCTTGTTTGTTGGTTTAAACTTAATTTGAATCGCTGCGACGAGATTGAAATCTCTTAATTATTCTCGTTTTCGTGAAATGATATATTGCGCGGACGGCTTCGCATAAATCAAGTGTGGATCGTTGTATAATAATAATAAAAAAAAAGATCGAGATTGCGTTGACATAAAACTGCAGGCCTTTTTTTTTCTTCTCTCTCTTTTCGTGTTGCTGATGAGTGTCACGTTTGCGAAACTCTCGCTTTGTCTCCGCCACGATCGTGACGAGTTTGCCAATGAATGTAACCAAACCCCTCTCTCCTCCTTGTTGTTGTTTTGATACGTAACCATGGTTAATTGAAAAAAAATGAATAGCTTAAAGTAATCTTGATCTCATCTGTCGATTCGGTCAATTCCTCCTCTCCGCCAATCGGACGCGAACTCCATTCTTCGATGTCAAAATCGTGTTGGCGCAAAGTTGGACGTCGTGCGCGGGCACCGTCGGTAAAATCTTGAAGTTTCTCAGGATCTTCGAAAGTGTCGACTTCATCTCGGCCATCGCGAATTTTTGTCCTGAAAACACGTTTGTTTTTATGCGTTCGACTGTCTTGTAATTTGCATTTGCTACCTATGCAATTTCTGGGTCCAGCGCTGAACGGAACGTAACAGTACGGAAACTGTTTGTGTTTCTCGTCGTTTCCTGCCGCGAATCGTTGCGGGTCGAATTTGTCGGGATCCGGGAAATAATCGGGATCCCTCTGGATGCCGTACGCGAACAGTCCGAGCGTCGTTCCTTTCGGTATGTGAATGCCATCTGGCGAACAAAAAAAAAATTTAAATTAAATTTGGAACAGTGTTTTTGATTAAGCTTTGAAAACGTCAAATTGAGAAGACTCACTGTGGTTGAATCCCTTTTGAAGTTTCCTCAAGTACAGTGGAACTGAAGGATACAGTCTTAAGCTTTCCTTGATGACTAATTCTAAATATTTCATCTCGTTTATGATCTTCAGCGTGGACATGCCGTCAACGTCGTCTCCGAATATGGAGACTTGCTCCTCGTAAGCTTTGTCCTGCGCGTCCTGGTGCGTCGCCAGCATGTGCACGACGAAGGAGAGCGCGGCTGAAGTCGTATCGTGTCCCTACAAAATATATAGTTTACTAAATGAACACTTAATAATAATAATGATATTGGTTTACTTACGGCGAACATGAACGTGTCGACTTCCTCGCGAATCATGGTGTCGCTCAAAGGTTGTCCATCGACGGTGGCTTCCAGCAGCAAATCCAGCAGCGCCAGCTTCCGTTTACCTTCGAAGTTCTGTTGCTCGCAGGACGAACGCGCTAGAAGTTCTTCGCGTCGTGTTCTGATCACCGATTCGGTGAATCCGTGCAGAGTCTTCAGGGCTTTTAACTCGCGCTGATAGAGTTGCGATTTTCTGTAGATAAAGTCCAACTGGAAGAACGGGTTGAACGATCTCTCCTGTATCAATCCGCACATCATCTCCACGCACTTGACGTACTCGTTGTGGACTTCTGACTGAGCGTTCACCGAGCATCCCATCGCCGTCTCTATTTGGGGAAATCGTCAATACTTTAAATACGCTAAATTCATATGTAAACTCACCGCAAATCACGTCCAATGTGTAGAGTGACAACAACTTGGAGATTTCAACATCCGGTGCGCCGACCTCGTTGCGCAATCTGCTGACGAGGATGTCTCCCATCGACTGATAAACATCGGTGAACTGTTCCAAGATTTGGAAGTGGAACGTTGGCGTCAGCATCTTGCGATTCTTCCGCCATCTCTCCCCTAAACAACACATCGATTGATATTGATGAGAAATCGAGCTTTTCGCTTCTTAATCTCTTTCTTCTCACCCTCGGCGATGAGCAATCCGTGTCCGAGCCACGAGCGCAGAAACTTGTAACCGTCCGATTTGTGCAGGGTGTCGTGCGAGGTCAGAACGCTCTTGATCAGATCGTACTCGGTGGTCAGGTAGACGCATTTGAACCCGATCGTCATACGGAAACTCTTCAAGTTGTACCCGCGCAGAAGTCCCATCACCAGACGCAGTATTTCTTTCAAAAAAAAAAACAAACAAACAAACACATCAATTTGGTGGTTCTATTTCGTAATTTGTTTGTCGACACGTGTTGATAGGAAATTGCTGACTTACAAAAACGTGCCGAAATTTGATTAATTCTCAAATTCATTCACTCATTAAATTATGTTACTAATAATAAGAAAGTTCATTAATATAGTCGAAGTTTACGTAACTTAAATAAACAGAAGTATTCTCTAATTGCGATGAATGAATGTGAAACTTAACTTCTGCGAAAATGAGTAACAATTTTCTTAATGACTAGCTTTTTCTGCTCAATTTCTTTTTAATTGTGGTGACGCTTCAAACAAACCGGATTCGCAGTTTGAAAATTTCTAAACAAACTAATTCGATTAGTCCGGTTTCAAATAGTTTTTGGTTTAGAACCCGCACTGTACGAGGAACTTTCAATTGAATGTTTTTTTTTCTCTTGTTGAGTGCGAAATGATAATGATAAGTTTTTTTAATGATCATTACTTACTTCAATATGTAACAACATACCTGTGGGTCCGCCTTTGAAGTACGGCGCGTTACCGACGATTGGCCATAAGGGCACCGGCGATTCGATCGTCCTCAGGTGTCTGTAGAAGTACAGGAATCTGCCCGTCCACAGGATGGTCACCAGCAGGAGGATTCCTGCCAGCGCAGAAGTCGCGAACATCCACAGCATTTCTCGTTCTCTGCACCACGATGATCACCAACTAAAGCAGTAGACGAGACGTTCTTTAGCGCGTAGTTTGCGAACGTATCAAGAGACACAGTCAGACAAACAGAAACTCTTGTCCCCTTTTTCGGATTACCAACTGACCGCCCATCGACTCAAGGATTTCCGCTGCTGTTATTGTTGCCGCACACGCACAGCCACAATAATTGGAGTGATGATCCTCTCTGCTCATATGCAATATATATATTATTAATTCTTCCTCTCTTCTCCTCTTCGCGTTTATTTATCTTACAAAAGATGAAAGTTCACATCGAAGTTCATTAATACTCGTTCTACTTGCATTTTTTTGTCTTCATCAACTAGCATTATAATTTGTTGTTAATTTTTTGCGAAATATTTTTGTTTGTAATGGTTGATAATTGTGTAGAGAGAAGCAGAAACGGAATGGAATAGCGTTGATCGCGTTGGCTGGGTGGAAAACAGTGATATGTCCCGATGAGCTGGTTAAGGAATTCCTTGTCGAAATACTTGAAGTGCGCGAAGGGTGGTGGCGCCACCACCACCACCAACGCTGCCGCCGACGATCCGGAGATGGCGTCGGAGACGCTCCCGGAAACGGTGCGCGCCCTCCGCCGTCTCCTCTGCGAGAGGGCGGACGAGTGCAAGCGCAAAACGGAGACGATCGGCAAGCTGGAGATGGACGTCGCGGAGCGCGACTCGCAGATCCGTCACCTGCAGAACGAGATCGACAAGTTCCGGCAGGTCGTCCATCCGATCACCCAGAAGATCCTCAGCGAGCAGAAGAAGAAGATGATCGAGCCGCGGATCAAGCGGCAGGCGATCAGCGCGGAACCGCTCAATCACAAGGACGTCCGAATCGTAAAGGTTCACAAGAGTCTCCTGTAAGTTGTCCGCGCTCCATCTGTGTGCGGTTTGGCAAGCAATCGATTACGTGAATGTTTACCACTTGGCGCCATCTACAATAACACATTCGCGAGGCTGGTTATAATAATAATAATAGTATGGTTATTTGTTTATGCGGTTGCATACTATATAATCTCTTGTTTTCGTCCAGATCGAGGGATCTCATTCGCGATGCCATCATGGACAACGACTTCATGAAGTATTTGGACATCACGCAGATCCGCGAGATCGTCGATTGCATGTATCCCGAACTCCACAAGGCAGGCAGCCTCATCATCAAGGAGGGCGATGTTGGTAGCATCGTTTACGTCCTCGAAGGTTAGTGCAAAACTTCACGTTACCAACCGATTACAAATTTCAAGAAGTTTCAAATTTGATTTATTATTATTTTCTATATATAAATGTTTAATAATGCAAAGCAATATTAATTAATTTTGTGTTGTCAACATGTTTAAATTAAATTCGATAAGTTGGTTGCCTACAGTGCATTCACTTTAATATCATTTGAGTGGATGCGCCGGGCTAAATTTCTAAATTGTAACGGAAATTACCTTGATCTGTTTTGTGCAAAGAATTAAAAAAAAACAAATGAAACAGGGTCGACGTAACATAAAATATTCCGACTCGTTTTAATTATTTAAGGTCGAATAATATTTCTTATTTCCCTGTTTTTTTTTTTTTCACATTATAATTAACTACAATCTTCAGTTATCTTTCGGTCAATTAGTTACCAAATACGAAGATAATTAAAGTGAGTTTAAAATTTATAAATTTCAATAATTAATAAATACAACCTTGAAGAATTACTACGTAAAGCGATTGGAACTTAATTTTGTGGATTATCATATTCTTCTACTAATTATAACCAATGTCGTCGGCGTGGGAATAATTTCAATGAAAGAAAACAGGTGATTTTTTTTGTTAAATTAAGGAAATAGTTATTAATTTGCCAACTATTTTTAACATTGAAATATTCATATTGAAGGCGAAACCAACTAAAGACATTTACGGTTTTGAATTGCTGATTTTGCGTGAAACAATCAAATTAATTGAATGCAACAATAATTGGAATTTGATTTGTTTAAAATTGAATTTAATTAACGCAAATATTTGTTCTTTCTAATTAAGTAAAATATTTGTCAGTTTTGAATCGAAGAAAAAGCGAGAAATTAAAGAAATGAAAAAAAAAAAGAGAACAACAAAAGTTGTCCTAATAAAGACATAGTTAATTTTATTTGTTAGAAACGCGACGGCGGCGTTAGATGATAAAAATACCAACGAGACTTTCACTCCGCAATTGCAAAAATAAACTAACAACATTTATTTATCTAATTATTTCTTACGCTCAATTTAAGTTATCTGATTATTATTTCTCTCTCTATCTCTAATTGCATAGCTTTTACAATTCTTTACAAATGTACACTGAGTTAGATTTAGATTTTATACAAAATGTATTGACAGTAGTCTGTTTATTAATCCGTCTATCTCCAATTAATGTTTAATTAATTTAAACTGATGACAACATTTTGCTTTTTTTCTCGAAAAAAGAAACACACACATTTTTCTGCTGAAATCATCAGTTTCTCTTCGCATTTTTCGCCTGTTTTGTTCCTCCGAACGCGCTAATAAGCGTCTTAGAAAGTTGCATTAAAACGAAGATCCGAGGTAAATCGTCTTCGATAAAGCTAATTGCGGCGAGAGAGGCGACCTCAAAAGGTCCGATAGAACCGATGAATTTTTAGCATCGGCGAAACCGAAAGTAACGAACGAAGATGATGATGATGAACGTGTCTTTTTTCTTCTTCATTCATTCATGGCCGTAATTCGTTTGGAATTAATGGTAATAATGGATGAACACATACATACACAAACACTAACTAGACATGCACAAAAGAGAAAATAGTGTTATTAACTAATTATTATAATGAAAACGAAAAGAAACAACAATGCAAATTGGTAATTCATTTTCATGCGAGAAAGTTCGTCCGAAAGCAGGGGGATTCATCATCATCATCATATTCTATTTTTGGCCTTTCCTAATTAATGCGCGTACGATATTCATGAGAAACATGACCCAATGAACGAAGAAGGCGCCACGGACTCTGCACATTAAGTTACCATTTCAATTCGTACCATCACCATCATCATCATTATTCCTCGTGAATCATATTTACTTTTTCTTTGTTCGGATTGTTGCGATTTCTCATTATTGACTTTCCCAAATGATCAAATTATCTTAGCCAAATCTAATCTTAATTAATAAAATAAGAGAACTAACTGAGATGTTTGCGCAAAACGATCGCGTTTGCACGAAATTCGACCGTCGATTGTTGTTTTCCATCTTCGTCTCTCGGACAGAGATGGCGGCACTTTGGGTTACGCAATCCTGGTGAATGCCGTCGGTCTCTCTGTCCCGAACACTGGGAGTCTTTCACATAATGCAATAATAATAGCCTTAGTCGCTTGCACACAGAAACAAATACACACAAACACATGGAGTGTCAAGAATACAAAAATGCTCTCGAGGAAAAGATCAAGGTTGCACTTTACTACCTAATAGAGCGCCGCCTTTCGTTTTCTTTCCTTTTATTTTTTTGTTTCGTTTGCCGATATTTATATCGCTTTCCGCAATCGCGTTCGAAACCCTTTCATTAATTCTTCCATCTGTCATTTTTTCGCAATGGCACATGATATTAACATGTCATTTAATATTAACCACGCTTTAATTAATTTGTTTTTTTTTATTATTATTACCATCAATTGCCTAACAGGTGAAATGTCAAATAGATGGCAGGTGTAAAATTTAAACTTTTTGTTTCTTCTTCCATTTGATTCGCTTTCTACAATCGAAATTTCTATCATTTTTTTTTTGCAATGGCGGATTGACACATCATACGTCTGTCAATTAATATTAACCTCACTTTATTTTGTTTTTTTTTTAAATTTTATTATTAAAATCAATTACCTAGCAACAAGTGAATTCGCTTTCCGCAATCGTTTTTTTTTCATTTGTTCTTGCATCTGACATTCCTTCGCAATGGCGGATTGACACATCATATGTGTGTCTGTTAATGTTAACCTCGCTTTAATTTATTACTATTTTTATCAATTACCTAACAACAGGTGAAATGTCAAATAAGTGACAGGTCAACAATTTGAAATTCTTGTTTCACTTTGGTTTCTCCACATTTCATTAATGTATATCCATGTAACAACATATTATTATAATGTCCATTATTACTATATTTTTTGTGTACATTTTTGCTTTGCTTTGTTTTTTTGGAAAGCTCTATCTCTTCTCCGCTGACCCAATGACCCGGGTTCAAAGGTTTTCACTTTCGCGCGAAATTTCGCTTACTCAAACACGCTCGGCTCGGCTCGCTCGGATGCATCATCTTTTTTATCGCTTCGCAAATTTACAAAACAACGGAGATGTGGTACAATTTTAATTTACACATTTTGTTTTTTGGGTCACCTCGGATTTACCTTGTTTCCTTCAACGAAACAAAAACGCAACGAAAATTAACCTAATTACTCTGTGCGTGTATGTATATGTCATTTAACAACACTTACATGTTTTTTTTTGTTTGTTTGTTTCTCGTTTCTATTTTGTTTGTTTTTTTTTTGCGAAAGCCGCTTGATTTACATACAGTTTTCTCGAAAACTGTAATAGATAGAATGAATCCAAAAGATGCATATGAAAGCTGAATGTTTGGGGATTCTAGCATGTATCGATATATTACTGTGGTTTCATCCGTTTGGCTGTAATTTGCGTCCAAAGTTGAAAAAATGCTCGAAAAAGTAGTGTTTTTACATTTCATTGATTTTCTCGAAAACTATAATACATAGAATGAATCCAAAAGATGCATATGAAAGCTGAATGTTTGATGATTCTAGCATGTTTCGATATATTACTGTGGTTTTAGCCGTTTGGCTGTAATTCATGCTCAAATTTGGAAAAATGCTCGAAAAAGTAGTGTTTTCACATTAGTATTTACAAAATTAGTTTACTAATTTCATTTATTCTACACTGTAACTATACTCATTATAGTATATATTAGGTCATTTCCATGTTAACTTATGATTTATATTAATGTCTCACTTGTGATTCTGTTATTTGTATATTCAATGACGACTCTTAATTCAATTAGCACCTACAAACTTAACTCGACGAATCGCACTATATAAAAAATAACTTGCAAACACTTTCCACGCTTTTTTCGTTCATTAAATTAACGCTTTCTTCGCTACAAAAATTTACGAATTTCAATACTAAAGTAGGTATAATTATTGTATATTAGTTAACATAACTTATCAAAAGATGGCGCTTCGATCGATTTCATCTATTTTAATCATATAGCGTAAATAAGAAAACAATAATAATTATATGAATCCTTATTATCTTAAGTTAATTTAGTTGATTATATAAGATTATTCGTTTTTCCCCCAAAAGATGGCATTTCGATAGATTTCGTTTATTTACACTTTTCACGTTTTATTTTGTTCATTAACTTTATTTTGCTCAAAAACTTACTAATTTCAATACTTAAATATGTATAATTATTATAGATTACTTAATTTAGTAAAGTTTGCATTTTTTTAAAGTAGTAGACTTACTTAACGAGTGGAAAAATGAAGCCGTTTCCATCGATCTTAGTGGATCTTCTCCTCCAGTACGTGTTGAAGGTCGAGTTCACATTTTCCAGCACCATCTCATCCAAAAAAAAAACCTGATTTGATCTTTCTTTCGCTTTTCTTGTCACGTTAAACACTAATGATAATTGTTAGACGACGATTGGTTTCGAGATCGGTGGACGTCCGTCCTCCGTCGATTTCTGCGACCAGATGGAGAGGAGGTTGCGTAGCGACCGCGACGTTTTTGTTACCATCGTCGTCGTGTTTTTTTTTAATCGTTTCTATGGCAATTAGGAGCCGAAAATTGGTATTTTTAGTGATGCTAGATGACTTGAGCAAACATTGTCGTCCAAGTGATAATCAATCGCTCCATTAATGTCGTTCATGCAAACACCTCAGTACAATTGTCGACGTAATTCGCGACCTGTGCGTGTACGTACCAAACACTTCAGTTAGCACCGATTCGAAATTATGAAGAAAATAAGATTTTAAATATAGATTATTGATACATTTGATTATTATGAAGAAAACAAACATAATTTTGTACGGTTCGTGTGGTAATAACATCAACAGAATGTTAAGTATTTACAAGATTGCTGAAGTGAACATTCAATTTCATTCAATTAATCGATTTTCCGAAAGATGGCGCTTCAATCGTTTTCGTCTATTTAGTTAATTTATTTGAGAAATAATCATTTTTTGGTAG